TTACCTTTTTTATTTTTCTCTGAGGCAGAAACATGCCTCCATGCAGACCTCTTTAGGTTATAAATCAACCCGATTACACACGATCGCAATGTCCCATCCAGAACTGTACATCTAGTCTCTGTACCTCTGTGTTTGTTTATGTACGTGTGTGTCTTTGAATTTATTGACTGTTTAATCAACAAGCATCTGTCATCACTTGTGGGGAAGTGGTTTATAGATGACACAAAGAGGTGTCCTCTGGGATTGAGCGAAAGTGAGAACGTGAGAAAGGGAGAGTGTTTTTTTGACAGCTGTCCGACTCACTCTCACCCTCACTTCATGCCTTTGCCCACTGTGTCATCTGTCGTGCTGACAAATGAAGCGACCGTGTTCTCTCACGAGTCGAAGGTTTGTCCTCCTCCACAAAATCTCAGCTGTGACCTCAGACTCTCTCCTTGTAATATTGACTGAGTCATGAAGATGTATTCTCAGCAGATATGCCTCTTTTTTCACAGGCCGAGCAACAAGATAAGTGATCTGAGATCAGTTGAAATGCCTCCTGTGCATTCCTCAACCGCATTTCAGCACTTAATAATTTTCTCCACAGTCATTGCGTGCAGATGTTTCGCATACCAGCTTGGATGCTGTTGTTTTTCGTTCACCCACACGAAATTCATTTCTGAAGGGTTATATCAAGGTCACCGTGCCTCACCATAACTATGGGTTATTGTTACTCCTGTCTGCTGTATAATTTTCATCCTCATATTCCAAACAATCAGAATTTCAAGCTTCGTGATGACCAGAATACATTTAAAACTCAATTGCAAGCCTGTGAACATTGAAATCAAATCTTTTGGAACAAAATGTTGATCTCAGTTTACCGTCAATATCCTCCAATGCGTGAGATTGCAGTATAAGCTTGTCGATCTGTCACTGCTGCCACAAACAAGGAAATATGTAAGGAAATTGTGGTTTTAGTGTAGTTCCACATATTCTTGCCTAAAAACTGTTTGCAGATGCGATTTCTTTGTGTTGATGCGTTTCTTTGTGAAACAGGAAATTGAACTCTTTTCAGTTAACCTTATTTTGTTACGTTACAGCCAAGCAGAGCCATGATTAGCTGTTTGCCATTGCTAGTTGTTGGCAACTGTTGTTGAAAAGAACAAAAAAAACAACAACAATTGTATGCATAAGAGAAATCAGTTTTCGTAAACTAACACTTAAGAGATATTACAATAATAAATATTATTTTAATATTTAAAATAATTTAAAATGTCTGCTATTTTTTACTTGTACACTAGCAAATATAGTCCAATAAAATTCCTCCATTGCTTCTTTATGCTACTAATTAGCATTTTTGTTATTTAATACATATTTTCTTGTTATATTATTAGGATTTATATATTATATTTTTATATATTATCCTAAATTTAAAAAAAAGTATGCACAAGAGAAATCAGTTTTCATAATCTGACACTTAGGAGATATTACAATAATAAATATGATTTTAATATTTAAAATAATTTTAAATATCTGCTATTTTTTACTTGTACACTAGCAAATATATATAGTCCAATAAAATTCCTCCATTGCTTCTTTATGCTTCTAATTAGCATTTTTGTTATTTAATACATATTTTCTTGTTATATTATTAGGATTTATATATTATATTTTTATATATTATCCTAAATTTAAAAAAAAGTATGCACAAGAGAAATCAGTTTTCATAATCTGACACTTAGGAGATATTACAATAATAAATATGATTTTAATATTTAAAATAATTTTAAATATCTGCTATTTTTTACTTGTACACTAGCAAATATATATAGTCCAATAAAATTCCTCCATTGCTTCTTTATGCTTCTAATTAGCATTTTTGTTATTTAATACATATTTTCTTGTTATATTATTAGGATTTATATATTATATTTTTATATATTATCCTAAATTTAAAAAAAAGTATGCACAAGAGAAATCAGTTTTCATAATCTGACACTTAGGAGATATTACAATAATAAATATGATTTTAATATTTAAAATAATTTTAAATATCTGCTATTTTTTACTTGTACACTAGCAAATATATATAGTCCAATAAAATTCCTCCATTGCTTCTTTATGCTTCTAATTAGCATTTTTGTTATTTAATACATATTTTCGTATTATATTATTAGGATTTATATATTATATATTTATATATTATCCTACATTTTTTATGTTCTCTCAGATTTGTGGACCCCACTAAATATGGCTTTAAAAAAGCAAATGTAGAATTTATGGGGTCTTATATTATATATGGTAATATATAATGTATAGTGTATGTAATGTAATGCACACATACATATAGATAGATAATGATTAAATATATATAATTTATGTAATTAAATAAATGTATATAATAAATATATAATTATTAAAATTATTGCCCTTAAAGCATGTGTTAATTTGTAGGCAAAGTTATAACTAACCAGTTTTAGAGAAATGCAATTGTTAGCACACTAACATAACACTAAGTAATTTTGAAATAGCCTATTAATTTCCAGCTGGACTTGGCCGGTCATTGTGCTCTCTGAGTGCGCGCTACTACTTGCCGTCTTCTCTCTTGACACTGATGTGTTCACAAGGTCAACAAGTTCACACGATGCCAACTAGCAGGAAGCATCTGGTGTCAACAAGCTGGCCTTTTTGGTGGTGTGTCCAAAAGCATCTATATAACGCACACTCACCCGCATCCATTGCAGTACCGTTGTTTGCAGTCAGGGGGCGATATTAGACTTCACTATCCGCCCAGCAAATGAGAATACAGGCTTCATTGTGATAGGCTCTCGGCTGGCAGAACCTTTTTTCCCTCTCTCTGTTGTCTCCTGACTGTCGACGACTCCGTCTCTTCTTCTCCTCCTCCTCCTCCTCCCGCGTTCCTTCTCTCCTCTGGATTAAATTAGCTGCAGAACGGGAGACTCCATCACTGCTGCATCCATTGATGTATAAACGACTAGTTTAAAAATGGGATTGAAAGCATAAAAGGGAATAGCTACAAGGATTTTGGAAGGGGTGAGTAGATCCAAGCCAGTGACTGAGGAGCGCATCATCTGGACCGCTGGAATTACAATTGGGATACAGTAGTTTTATGGGAAAGAGGGGGAGGAGAGAGACATTATAATTATGGATGATGACAAGAGAGATATTTATTTAGGATTCCTGACCAAAGAAGTCTACTTGTGAGATGCTTCCTTGGAATGGTGTGACGGTATTCTGAAGTGTCCTTTCCGCCGCAACAGCTGTGCAAGCTTGATTGTTGCAATTTTTTTTTTTTACTTGAGCGTCGTTTTCCGTTCACAATGTCATGCAGAGATTTGACAATAGAAAATTTTGACAATGGTGATTGTTCTAGCTTTATGAGAAATAGATTGTGGTGATGTTAGAAAGGAAAACTGGTTTAGACACCTTCCATGAACGGATTTTGGAGTACCAGGTTTTTGCCTTTGTTAACTGGTGACAGTGAGATGTAATGTATTCTAAACTTGTGAAATGGTGTGCAGGTTTATGCCAGATGCTTTTATTCTCAAAGGATCTTCTCACACACTGTGCTGGATTTTTGAATTTCCAAGCAGTGTATCCATGCTTAGCTGTGCCGAATGGTCAAGGTTATGATTGGAGAAGGAAAGAAAAGGTAGAGCTGCTTAGCTCTCTTGAGGCAGAGTAGCGCGAGATGATTTGTCATTTTTCTGTCCTTTGTTCACCTTAGAGAAAAGGTCGAAAGCACAAGTTCTCAAGCTACCTTTTATTTTCAGCATTTGTCTTGGTGTCTCTCAGGGACTTTTGCTCAAGATGTTGTTAGGGAACCTTTGGAAGACTATCTGTCTGATAAATATAAGCCAGACAACACAGTCTGTTGAATGCATCAGTAAAGGGAATCTTTAAGGAATCATGTTGTATTTAAAAGACAATTATTCATATTAAATTGAAACCATTGAAACCAGCTCCAAATATCACCTGCATAAATGTGACAACTTACAGCTTTTGAAAAGATTATTCAGACTCAACAAATTGGACATGCTAATGCTAAGTGATACATGCTCTTAAGGGATTTCATGAAGTGCCTGAGAGACTTGAAAACAAACATAATTTGTAAGGACCTAAGAGTGAACCTTGTGGAACTCCGCTCATTCAAACATACCATTATGCATTCAAACCAACAACTTTGTCTAGTGTAGATGCATTTTAAAAATTATATATATTTATACAGTGGTGGCCAAAATTATTAGAACACTAGTCTTTTCACCAGCTAAAAATGGTTTGAAGTCAGTTATTTTCTTTTGCTGTAGTGTGTCAGTAGGAAACATCAGTTTACATTTCCAAACATTAATTTTGCCATTAATTGTAATAATTCAGTGAGATTTTTATTTGCACAAGGAGTCTGACAACAGCCAGTGCTTTACACAGAGAACTGATCTCATCATCATCCAGTCTTTCTGGAATGACATGAAGAAACAGAACAAACTGAGACAGACTCAATCCAGAAGAACTGTGGCAACGTCTCCGAGATGCTTCACGAAACCTACCTGCAAAGCTACCTGAAAAACTATGCGCAAGTGCACCCTTGTGCAAACAAAACTCTCACTGGATTATTACAATTAATGGCAAAATGAATGTTTGGAAATGTAAACTGATATTTCCTACTGACACACTACAGCAGAAGATAGAAATAACTGACATAAAACCATTTTCTAGCTGGTGAAAATACTAGTGTTCTAATAATTTTGGCCACCACTGTATGACAACTTGTATATAAAATATATAAATTTAGATTATTTATTTATTTATTTTTGTTATTTATTGTGTTATTTATTATATGCTACCTAACCATACTCTACAAGGCTGTACACCCTGTCAGCAATTGACAAGAAAATATAATGAGGGGGAGCTACACACTTTAACTTCATTCAAAGAATTGTATGGGTGTCTTAGGTTCTGCATTTACCAGTTAACTTACTTCGTTTTTAATTGACCTTTTTCAGGAGGTGTTGTGGATAAAGATCTCCGGCATTATCTCAACCTACGGTTCCAGAAGGGTTCAGTGGACCACGAGCTTCAACAAATAATACGTGACAACCTCTACCTCCGGACTGTGCCGTGTGAGTAACCTGTACATATGCATTCAAATAGTTTGGGTTTCTTAGCATTGGTCTTTTTCATATCCATAAGTATGGTGAGCAAAATCCTGATGAGGAACTTCCAGAGGAACCTACAAAACCACATTGTCCTTACCAGGTGTGATGTAGTAACACTAAGTTTTATGCAACAACCCTGAACATCTGAACAACAGAACATCTTTTTCATCTGACCACAACAATCGACAAGTGGTATGGCATTTTGCACAGTAGTGAAATCTCATTGGTCCAGAATTCTGCTCCTCATGACTGTACATTAACTACCATCTATGCAGTTTTACATTTAGTGTGGACCGACAAATTGCTTGTTGCATTGTGCCTAGTTAGGGCAAAGGAAGTGCCTATTTTTTTTTTTGTACTATTTTAGTATTTTTGGTAGTATTTTTCTAACAAAACATTCTCCTGGTCTGATTATATGTATTAATGGAACTATTGTTTGTCACTTTGGAAAGAGAGTGAGGACAGGCTCTCCGAACCTGCCAGCAGATCTGTGAGGGAAGGTAGTTACAGCTGAAATGAGCCAACCTTTTATATTGTGGAAGTTGTTATTGTTGTGTGGGGGGTTATGGGAGAAACATGGAGACAAACCCTCCCTGATATGTCTGGGTACCATCTCAATGTATGATGCAACCAGGTAGAAAGAACAAAGCGTCATTCTCCAATTAGAGGTAAATGACAGGAATGTTAGCAGTGTTTGGAAATCATATGCAACAAATTTTACTCATACCTCACTTTGTAAAAACAAACAGAAATGTGTTGACAGAAATGCACTGAGACCTCTGTGGAGAAAATGTACAGTGCTTACAAGTGTGTTTTTGTCAACACAGCGATCATAACTTGTATTTAACCCAGATTATTTCTCTTAAGTCTCTCATTAGTCCACACATTTGGACTAGATTGATGCTGTCAGTCCCAAATGCTTGACAGTTTAAAGGAATTTCGACATACAAGGTTGTGGTGCAATTTTGCCGGTTAGCAGAGGCTAGCTAGCTAGTTAGTGGTCGCTAATGTTAGCTAGCTGCCTAGCTAGCCACCTGCTTGATGTTAGATATTATGGCTTGTTTTAGCGTTAGAATGTTATGGACAGTAAAAACCTTCTATCGATTACCTCATTTACAATATTTGTTTTGTTTTCAGATTAATTTAAGATTCATATGAAGGAATTTAATGAACTATTAATAAGCAGCAAATTAGTAGTTTATTGAGGCAAAAGTCGTAGTTAATTGTTTGTTAATAGCCAGTATTGGACCTTAAAATAAAGTGTGACCAAATTAACTGTGGTTTTTCTACAAATAAAACCATGGTTACTATAGTTAAACCATGGTAACCACAAATTAACCATGGTTTTCTAACACTAACCATATTTTAACCATTGTATTTATAGTAAAACTGTGGCTATATGAATGGTAATCAATACGCCAAAAAAAAAAAGCATGGTTGCTACAGTTTTACTATAATAAAACCATGGAAATTTTCGTACGGGTGGAAAAGTTGACCGTAAATGCTTTGCTATTTTGGTTCACAGTTTGAACCTAATAGTTAAGATTTTCTGTTTATTTTGAGCCATATGGTAACACTTATTAGCTAACATTAGTTAATTCAATAACTAACATTAAATAAGTCAAAACATTTGTTACAGTATTTATTAATATTTGTTGTAAAAATACAACTGCTAACTCATGTTAGTTTAGGTTAAATAATATTAATATATACATCTTTTGATTTCAATAATGTAGTAGAAAATTTTGAAATTAAAATGAACTTGGACTGAAAGAAAATTGTTTGGTTACAAACATTCTGCAAAATATCTTCTTTTGTGCTCAACAGAAGAAAGAATCTCATAGGTTTGCAACTTGAAGATAACACAATGATGACACAATTTCCATTTGTGGGTGAACTTTCCCTTACGTAAGCAGTTTTAGTATATGTAGCCTACAAGTAGCCTACAAGGAGTACTGCAGTGAATGTACAATTAGTTTTATAAATTTACATAAACATATTTGCATACTATGCTTTATGTAAATATGTAAAATATCACATATTTTATGAATAGGCACATATTGATTAGGTCAAATGGATTAACCCTGACAAAAGTCCTTGATATTCATGAAATTAATGATATTCTTTTTAAAATATATGATTATTTAAATAATTATCATGTGTAGGCTACACCCATTAGTGTTTGTTTATTTATTTACTTATTATTGAACATGCAGGTATTTTCATTCTTAGAAGTGTGTTAGTTAAATGAAAATAAATAAATAAAAATAAATAGAATGAAGAAAATATTACATCTGTATAATAAAAAAGGTATACCTGAAAGAAAATTACGCATTTTTTTTAGGCCCATAGTATTCAGTGGCTGACTATTGTAGGTGATTTCATATAATAATGTAAATGTAAACTCATTACTTGTCTGAATTTCAACATTATAATGGAATCATAAGCTACTAGTCATAAAATTAATTAGGGTCCTTGACCAATTAGAACGAAACGCATCCATACTGGATAAAGGGGCCTCAATATTTTGCCCCTTACAAGACATAATGTCA